ATGAATCATCCCCCAGTGATATTCTAATGCTCCCAGTTATGACTGCTGTATTTGTGCTGGTCAAAATCATTCATTTTACTGCACCCAGTAATTCTTATCTTGATATGGAAAGTTGATACAAGGCTAAAGTTTATATAGAATTGTTAGCAGTTCAAGGATATCTGTTTTTAACTGCAGTATTATGAAACTTCTATAACTCATTCTTCACAGATAGGCACACATGCATTAATCTTTGCAAGTGTCTGCATTTCCTTCAGTATCAGCCCTTAGTACAGTAACAGGCTGGAACAGGGCTGCATTTTAAGAGTAACATGCTAACTTTGACCTTTAATGCAGACTGGTGGAAGGAAGAGCTGTAGATGTTTTCAGTGCAGAACTTTAAAAGATTGTGGCATATGAAATACTGTAGTGTCATCTGCTTTGCATTCTAAAGGACAAGAAATTGCTGTTGGTGTTATCTGAATATGGCTTAATATATCTGGCACTAAAAATTGTTACTAGAACCCTGAGGTATGCAAATACAGAGCCTTCAGTTGAGTTCTGTGGTATGTTTTTCAGTTGTGTGTCAGCTATAGGGGGTTGTCTTAAGATATAATCTCACAAATTTTGTATGTCAAATGAGGTTCCAGTTCCCTTCGGGTTTAGCTGATGTGCAAATAACATCACGGTGAAACAGAATGGCAGAATGCATAGTTTACAAAAATGATCAGTAACATAATTAAGAGAGACCTGAGGTCAAGGGAGCAATAGAGAATTATTGGTGTAGACCCACTCTTGAACGATAGGTGGTTCATCAGAATTTTCATTAAAGTAAAAATGTGTCTCTCAAGGAAATAGCTTGATTGTATTACAGTATTCGTTTGAAAATAACAAATGCTGTTCATTGGTCAGCCTGTCCTGGCTCCCATAAATGTAGCCATATGACTTTCTATAGAATGGGCTTAGAAATGCCACTTTTAGGGCATTTATAAATAGATAGTACAGTACTGTGTACATTGGGATACAAATTGAATGGCTATCTTTTGCATTTAAACTATGATGTTTGTGCACTATGTTGTGCACTGATGACTATACAAAGGGCTTGGATTGCAAATTTGAATCTTTAAGAGCAGATCCAGTATCTGTGATGTTGAGGCAAAGATTGCCATTTAAGCCAAACAGTTGAGTAGATTCAGTTTTCCCCCCACACCACCTGGCATTGGGCTGGATGGCCTTTTAGTTTTCAAAAGAAGCCTCCAACACTGTAACCTGGTTTACTGCCCATATTGCCATGGTGTTTAAAGACACCTTGAAAACCATGTTTACATGACTTATCTTTGTTGGAGATAGCTGTGGAATCTTTGTCCTCCCCCCCCCCCTTCATACTGTGTCTGAATGCTTCATTATGTGTCTCAGCAACCTGTTGCTGGAGAGACTGATTTCTGTATACAGCAGCAGTTTACAGGGAACAAAAAGTAGCTGTTAGGGTTCATTGATTTCCCTGTGCTGGAGACTAGATGTTTGTCTTGTCTTTTGTTAGCAAATTGTTAAATTTTCCTCTTAACCTGCAGATAAAAGGGAACATATTGTCATTGTTAAATAACATTGAAAGCACCTTGAAGCCTATGTGGTTCTTTCCATAAAGCAGAGAGACTTGGGAGTTCTTGGTTTTAATATGCCAGGAGCATGAAGCTCTCTGTTTTCTGCCACTGAAGATTTGTAGACAGGTCTGGTCTCAGATATTTTATTTGCAGAAGGAAGGTTGTTGGGGTCTTAAAAATAGTTAACAGCCTTGGCAAATGGAACACTTCTCTAAATGCTCAGCTTCTGCTTCTAGTCTATGCTACTGCTTTCATTAGCTCTCTGGTTACTGTATGCTCTTGCCATTAGAGCATTTTATGATGTAACACAGAATGAGGACAGAAGTCTTTTGGGGATGGGGGGATTGCTCGACACACAATTTTGAAACCTGTTATTGTCTACTAGTGGCAATCAAATGCAGAGCTTTGCCCAGTACTCTTGTCTTCACAGAAAATTGTATCAATTAATGGAATCCCAATCTTAATGTGTGATGTTTCTATATATAATTGTCCAGCAATTAAAAATCTAAAATACAGAGTTGCTATCCCTTTTTTCTGGTTTCATGGGAATATTGAGAGTTTATAGACACTTTATATAAATCTCATTAATACTAAGATATGTATAACTGGATTCCAGTTTGCTTTTAATATCTATGGGGAGCATGAATATTTTTTCTCCTTTGCCTCAAATTATTTTGCAGGGTACATAATACAGTGTGTCTTGTCACCAAGCACTTACAAGACAACTATAACAGAAGGAGTGTTTGGTAGTGTTTGCATTACGCATTCTGCTGGGGTGGGGGGAGCACAAAATATCTAGTGTGTAGTTCTAACATCTGGATGTTTTGTCATTTAGTTTTATTTAAAAAATAGGTTGTTGCTATATGAGTCAGACTTTAATCTTTAATTCAGACATTCTTATTTCCCCCTCGGAGATTCTGGTGTTCCTAAAGGATCCCTTTTGATGTGGGAAAACCTTTGGGAGCTTCCAGGCGGGGAGTACTTTTAATATCTGAAAGTTGTCATCATCAGTTCCACCACATCATCAGACATTTGTGGGGAATTGCTCAACAGAATTCTGACAAATTTATTGTCTTAAACAGAGCCATGTTTAATGTCTGCTATTTCCGTCCTCTCCACCACAGTAGGGACAGAATGGGACTTTGTAAGGATTTTAAAATGTCAATGGGGAGGGGGATCGACCCCTCAATTTTTGGTGGCACTACACCAATGAAGAGGTTGTATGATCCAGAAAGACTGTTCAATTTTGTACCTTTTTGTGTCTGGTATATTAAACATAACACCTTAATGTGGATTTAGACTTCCTTTGTTGGTCAGTGCGGTTTCCTTTGCATTAAACAATTGTTCTTAATGTTCTCCACTTATGTGTACTCTTTGCTGGTCAACTGAGTTTAAGACTTTCCATTGTGGATTTCACTTTATCATCCTTGCTGTACAACTCCTGCTTCACTATAAGGGGGTGCTGATAAGTATTGAGCCTTAACCAGAAAAAATTGAGCTAGGAAGCTATAAATTGCAGGGTGTATTGGCCAGTTTATCTATATTCAATGATGCAAAAATCAACTACCTATGATTTTAACTTAAGTTTCATTTTCCGGTCCAAAGTAAACATGGCGGCTCCTCCAGAAAAGTTCAATGTGGAAGAGCATAGGACCATAATCAAGTTCCTGTTTCTCCAAGGGAAAGGTGCAAAACACATCTATGATGAAATGTCACAAACTATGGGTGACAGTGGCCCTTCATATGCAACAGTTAAACATTGGGTTGTCAATTTTAAAACTGGCCATTTCGGTGTTGAAAGTGAGAAACCCAGTGGAAGGCCTATTCCCATCTCTGTGCCTGCAAATGTGAAAGCCATCCATAACATGATCATGGAGGACCGCTGAATATCAGCCAAAAGTATTGTTATATGTCTGAGTTGGTGCCATTATCCATAACAACTTGGAAATGAGAAAGCTGGCAGCAAAGTGGATCTCCAAACTTTTGACAACTGAACAAAAGAGGAAATGTGTAGAGTCATCAGTGGCTGTTTTGGAACATTTTGCAAGAAATGAGTCAGATTTCCTGGGCAAACTGGTAACTGGTGATGAGACATGGATCTACTGTTATGATCCTGAGACAAAGGAACAGTCTAAGGAATGGAGGCACAGTGGTTCCCCCAAGCCAAAATAGTTCCGAGTGCAAAGGTCGGTGCAGAAGCAAATGGCAACAGTTTTTTGGGATAAGAAGGGAGTTCTGTTGGTGGACTACCTCCCACAGTGTTCAACCATCAATGCAAAATACACTGGTGCCTCACACAACAATGTTAATTGGTTCCAAAAAAATCAACGTTGTGTGAAACATCGTTCTGTGAAACACCATTTCCCATAGGAATGAATTGAAAACTGGTTAATCCGTTCCAATTGGAACAGATTGCCATCGTTCAGTGAAAATCCCCATAGGAAACATCGTTGAGTGAAACAATGTTTCCTATATTGGAATGTATTGGTGTTCCCCAAACTCAAAAAACACCTAAAGGACAATGATTTGGGAGTGTTCTGGAGGCAACTAATGCTGCAAATGAGTGGTTTGAAGAATTTTATTTGCAGGGACTTAAGAAGCTGCAGGACAGATGTCACAAGTGCATTGACTTCCTGGGGGAATATGTAGAATAGTGTGGCAGTTACAGCTTCCTAGCTCAATTTTTTCTGGGAAAGGCTCAATACTCATCAGCACCCCCTCATACTTTGCTTCAGGGTCCTGGCAGAACCCAGGAGCTGTAAGCACTGATCTTTTGAGGTAGGGTGTTAGATTGGGATGGGAAACATGCACCTGAATGCTACATGAGTGCCCCTACTGGGACCCAAATGCACCCCACTAGTGCCCTACATCTCAAAATAAATACATATTTTAAAAATACCCCTTGTGCCCTATAGAGGGCTTAGGAAGACATTCTGCCATATTTAAGGAGCCTCCCACTTACCCATGACTTTCCCAGATGTTTAATGTAAAAAAAAAATTGGCCTCTAGAGGGCACAAATGGGGAGTTTTCAATTAAAGAAACACTTTCATAAGGAATAAAAGGGAAGAGTTGTAGATTCCAGTCTAGTCCTCCATTGGTTAACATGTATTATCCTAAAACCTTTAAAGAATACCATCCTTATTTTAAATTGATAACCAAGAGGCAGGATGGGATTTTCCATGAATTTTGCAGTATCCGGTTTGGTTTTGCCAGTTAGGCTCAGAATTTGAACTGGGTCCTCAGGAAATTGATCACATTCACCTTTCATAATGTACAGTTATTCAAAGAAGGTAGTTTGGTGCTACTGAAATGAGCATACACATTGATTATTGTTTCTAGCATATGTACACAGATATTAGAGAAGTTCATATAACTGTATGTTGTCATGGTCGTTAATGTCAGCATTGTTTGCTTTTCAGAACTAGCCGGTCGTGTCATCACCAGTTCCTGGAACCAGTAAGGACCTTTCTTTAAAAACCCTGGTCTCATGAGTGAATCAACAGCTCTCGGGAATGCCAGCTTTCTGGAACCAGTCCTGCGGCTCAGGACAGGGCACATGCCTGAATCTCCTCAGCAGGAAAATCATAACAGTGATCAATCTAGTGAGCGGGGACCCCTCTTAGTGGACTCACCTACATCTTCTGAAAAGGAAAAGGTAAATACTTGTCACCCTAATTTCTAGCTGGTCAGTTACATCAAATCAGGATCTTACAGGGGAACATAGATAGTAACTTTAAAAAGCTTGTTGCACGGAATTGGTTTCTTAGCCAGTGTGCAAAATCCCTCTTCTCCCCCACTTTCCATTGAAGGGAAGGAGACATATATTTATATGTGACTTCTGATGATGGTTAAAATGTATGAGCAAATCTTATTCTATTATCTTTGGACCACAACTAAGAGCTGGACATCTCCATATGGGGATGGTCATCTAGATGTTGGACTGTAGCACCCATCATTCCTAATATTTGGTTGCACCAGCTATGGTTGTTAGGAGTCCAACAATGTCTGGCTTGTCCTAGATGTCCCTTCTCTGTTTTGATTTGTGGGCACCAATATTACATTGTTTCAGGAAAGGTGTCCAAAGCAGAAACAAGCTATAATTTCTGCTTCTGCCAAATGTCAAATACCAGTTCTTTGATTTAAAATGTGTTAGGTGATTTCCAGGATTGCCGAATAATTCACGTTTTGGACTACAACTCCCATAAATCCTGACCAGCACAGCTAGTGGTGAAGGCTTGTAAGTTTTAGTCCAAGAACATCTGGGGACCAAAGTTAGGAACAATTTGTCTAGAGAATAAATGTTCTCTGGCTAGCCTCGGACTGCTTAACTTTATTCCTTATTTACAGACTTATTTGTTGCAATGCTAGTTCCAAGACAAAGAAAAGAGAAAGTAGTGAGTTACTGTTACAATTTTAAAGTAACTTTTTGCTTTCCAGTTAATCAAAAGTACCATAATACAGGTTTATTTTAAGACATCTCATATATTCTGCAACTGTAAAAGTAACTAAAAGAAGTTATTTTATTCCTTTTACATTACATACGTAATGTAACTATGCCTTATTAGAAAAGAGAAACAATTTAAAATAATTCATTTTCTTAACGTTGATTTCAAGCCCTATATACACCTTGTTATGCCACTGTAGACAGAATTTGATAGCCAAACCCAATCCTGTCCATGATGTTTTCAGACTGCTTACTTGTAACATTATTTGTTGCAAACATTCATACTAAGAAACACTATACAGCTGCAGAAAAGAATAAGTTCTCTAAGTACATGAAATGAACACTGAATATTTATAGGAAAAAACAAATTTTCAACAAGCAAAGGGATGTTTCAAGCCCTCAGATAAAACATTTCAGGTGTTTGGAGTTTTGTGACTGAACCATAGTTGTTTCCTGTCAGAGGGATTATTTTTAAATGTGGAAATGAAAAGCTCTTTCTGTCAGAACCGTTCAGTTACCTTGGAGAGTAGACGTGCTTTCCTATTTAACATGCAAGCACTTTACAAAACACTTTGAAAAAAGCAAATGTGAGCTATCCACATCACATTATGTGGTTGTGAGATATGCCTGCATTTGGCACAGTTTGCATGTGTACTTCCCCCTTTTAAGGAAAAATGGTTTGGTAAGTCGTTTATTTTGAAATCTGCAGCAATTTGCATGTTTGCTTAAGTTCTGTTTTAAATCAATAAGGCTTCAAAGTTAAAGACTGAAGGAATGCCTTTTAGATTGTCTCCAGGTAGGAAAGATGTAATCTCTGTCCAGGGCCGGGCAAGGGTAATCATAGTATACAGAGATTGGCATGATGATTGTGAGTATGATCTGTTACATATATCTTCACGTAAGGAAATGTATGACGAGGACATGACAGTGCTCAGCAGATCTTCAGGCATTTTTGTGGATTGCTACTTCTGTGACCCTTCCAGGGAATATTGTAGGTTTTCCTCAGCTATTCCTGCTGCTCTCTACCCTGTCTGGCCCTCCTTCACGGCACTTATCTCCTTGTCCTTTGCTATTTTGAGTGACTGGAGTGTCTTTGTTCCCCCTGCTGTTCTCCAGCCACTGATACCTCCTAAAGAAATGCCTCTTACTGTGACTTTGTTAAATTGACACAATCAAATGCATCTGACTTTTATCACCTGATGAATGTTTTTTTTAATGTGTGGCCTTGAAAACCTGCACTTGACTCTCCTTTAAAAAAAAACAAAGCAAATCCTTCAGTGACAAAAACAGGACAAAAGGCTGCTTTCTTCCACTTTTTTCTAGCTACCAGAGCCTTCAGCCCTTGATTGATCGTGTCTTTTGTCTAAAGTTTCTGCATCTGTGGTGCTCTTTGCACTTGCAGTGTGTGGCCTAGAAGCAGGTCTATGAAAATTTGGATCCCTTGCTCTGAAACATTTAGCACTGTGCAGGGAAGAATAAGCTCAGCAGTTGACTTTTCTTCATGGCAAAAATCCAACTGGAATGTTAGTCAAGTGATTTGGGCTTCACTGACTCTTGAATTCAGCTGTTTGGCCTTTGAAAAGAGTCAGCCAGTCTGTTTTGAGAGTGAAAATGATTGCTTATGGCATAGTAAGACTGGGGAAAAACAGTTAAGTAAGTAAGTGAAGTTTATTTTTCAGTTCTTCCCTTCGATGGAAATGTTTACTTTTTTAATGTGTTGATAATGAAGAGGCACACTGACCTGCCTGAGTTATAGAATCAAAGGATGGGGTGGAAATCATCAGCCCTAGTCAGCATAGGTCAAGTGTAATGGGAACTGTAATCCAGCAGCATCTGGAGAATACATTCTTTTTTGTGATCTCTGTGTATTCACACCAATGGGCAGTCCTGTGCCTGCACTGGAACTTCTTAGAATCTTCCAGAGCCTGAAAAAGACTGTTAGATTAAAGTCTGGTGGGAGTTGTTATCTGACAGCATTTGGAGAACATATTCACCCATCTCTGATCTTGGGTGTTGAGAGGCCTATGCTTGGCAGATTTTCACATTTGTACCTTGTTAGGTCTTGGTACTTCAATAAATGACATGTTCATAGAGTTTTCTTCATTATCTACTTCATAATGTCTGTTACTCTTTTTTTGTTACAGTAAGTGTGAAGGAGAGTAAGGGAGTGAGCCATCCTCCACAGTCAAAGCAGAAGGAGGAGCCGAGTGTGTAAAGGGGATACTAGTGGAGGTGGAACAGGATGACAGGGAAGTACAACAGCCTAAAGAAGTGTGTTTGGCTGATGATAGAGGGGAGGAGCTTGATTTGATTATATGGGAGGATATAACGGGACGAAAAGGCGGGAAGTTTCAGGGTGGTGAGAAGCGAGCCGGCTGATAAGAAGGATAGATCGATACAGACAGAATGGAGCATGGGCGAGGAGAGTTTCCTCAAGCTGCTTAAAGAATTTCCTAATCTG